CGCACCACCATGCCCAGCAAATGTTTTGTATTTTTAGTAGAGACGGGGTTTCACCATGTTGACCAGGATGGTCTCGATCTCTTGACCTCGTGATCCACCCGCCTCGGCCTCTCAAAGTGCTGGGATTACAGGCTTGAGCCACCGCGCCCGGCCCAATGGGAAACCTTTATAAGGTATTTAAACCCCAGAAACTTCTGTAAGGAGGCGTTTGAGCTGTTCTCACCCTGTGAAGTGTACTTTCGTTTTTCAATAAATCTCTGCTTTTGTTACTTTCTTTCCTTGCTTTGCCTGTGTGTTTTGACCAAGACACCAAGAACCTGGGCACCCTCCACTGGTAACAGTCTGGCTGCAGCATAGCGAGTAATGCAGTGGGTTAGGACGAGAGTGAGGTCAGAAACAGGTAGGAGTCAAGAAGTGTGGAAGCAGGGAAGTGATTTAATCTGCTTTTAAATCTCCCTCTGGCTGCTGTGTGGAGATTGGATGGTAGGAAGGACAAACGTAGAATTAGGAAGACAAGCGAGGAGGTTATCTCCCTGGTAAGAGATGCCACTGATCAGACTGGGGCGGTGGCTTTAGAGATGAACAGATGTGGGGGCATCAGTGAATCTTAGAACTTGTCCGCCACTGAAATTACATAGGGAGTTAAAACACGCGTGGACTTCTGGACCTTACCTTTGCAGAGCCTTGTGAAAGGAAAATCTTGGGGCACCAAAGTCACTAACCTAAAGGGACAAGTCAAGCTGGGAACTGCTTAGGGAAACCTGCCTCCCATTTTATTCAAAGTCACCCCTCTGCTCACTGAGATAAATGCACACCTGCTTGCCTCCTTTAGAGATAATCAGAAACTCAAAATAATGCAACCTTTTGTTTCTTATCTACCTATAACCTGGAAGCCCCTTTCCGGCTTTGAGTTGCCCCGCCTTTCCAGACTGAACCAATGTTCATCTCGCATATCTTGACTGATGCCTCATGTCTACCTAAAATGTTGTAAAATCAAACTGTGCTCTGACCACCTTGGCACATGTCATCAGCACCTCCTCAGGTTGTGTCACAGGCCTACATCTTCAATATTGGCAAAATAAACTTTCTACATTAACTGAGATCTGTTGCAGATATTCAGGGTTTACAGCCTTTTTTTTTTGAGATGGAGTCTCACTGTGGCCCAGGCTGGAGTACAGTGGTATGATTTCAGCTCACTGCAACCACTGCCTCCCGGGTTCAAGTGATTCTCCTGCGTCAGCCTCCTGAGTAGCTGGGCCTACAGGCACATGCCACCACATCCAGCTAATTTTTTATTTTAAGTAGAGATGGGGTGTCACCATGTTGGCCAACCTGGTCTCAAACTCCTGACCTCAGGTGATCTGCCTGCCTCGGCCTCCCAAAGTGCTGGGATTACAGGCGTGAGCCACCACACCTGGCCTGGAATCTATACTTTTAACAAGCCCTCTGAGATATGCCGCTCTGTCTCTGGGTGCCCACTTGTCTACTACCGGTGGTAAAGGGGTAAGTGTGGCCGGGCTCAGTGGCTCATGCTGGTAATCCCAGCACTTAGGGAGGCCAAGGTGGGCCGATCACTTGCATTCAGGAGCTCGAGATCAGGTTGGGCAACAGGGTGAAACCTCATCTCTACAAAACAGATATAAAAAATTAGCTGAGCCTGCTGGCACGTGCCTGCAGTCTGAGCTATTCAAGAGGCTGAAGTGGTAGGATCACCTGAGTCCAGGAGGTTGAGACTGCAGTAAGCCATAATCATGTCACTGTACTCCAGCCTGGGTGATACAGTTAAGGTCCTATCT